CACCCAAAATCTCTCTGAACCTCCATATAAGGACTAAATAACCCTTAGAAAACTACCAGTCAGCCCTTTTTCCAGAATACTTCAGAACCCCTCACCCTGCATTGGTGAGTATCCCTGAGTACTTCAACTATACCTTGCTACCCCCTTAAAGGGACCACAACCCAAAAAGCGTTGAGATAAACTTGTCTTCCAGGATCCATCCCCGGCATCCTGTACACTATATCTAGTATTACAAACATATATAACTGTTTTTAATGACATTTTAGAAACAAAGTTTAGTTAAAGCCCCTAAGCCCACAATAGGACTGTGTTCACACCTGCGAGGAAGCCTCCTTTGTACAGGTATAGTTATAAATTACGTGTACTGTTTGCCATTTTTCCTTTAGTTGTGTTTGTTACACAACATAAGAGGTTTTCAGGCAAATCTTGATTGCTCACTGTACCTTTAAAGTCAACGTGTCACATACCTGAGTAATTCAAACTGAGGATATGAGGAAAAATGCAAGTTTTCTTCAGTAAAAACTGCACTTTTTTAGTATCAGTTAATCTAGAAATATGGGCAGCTGAAACTGTATAAAATCTCCCATGTTCCCATAAGGGCTCTTTTACATGGGAGGCCAGAGGGCAGTAAACACAGGTATTTGATTTACAGTTTTACCACCCCTCTTACTACCCAGCTAAATTCTACCATGGCAGATGGATGGGGCTGTACATACAGTATACTTTGGCCATGATTTGCTTTATGGTTTTGGTCATTTTAACATGGTTTGCAGAGTTCAGTAGGCACATTCATTCATTAAGGCCAAGGTGCCAGCACCAACTTTGTTTTGCATTGCTGTAATGAATCCAAACATTGCTTCCTGATGATGTGACAAAACGCATTTGGTGGGGTAACCAGTTGCGATGTCCTTTCTGCTTGCAGTGGAACACACCTTGGTTTTTTGAGCCTGTGGAACAGCAACGCTCCATTGACAGTAGTCATCCCAGCTAATCATTCCAGGTGCAGTTCTAGACACTGCACAATGTGAGTGTAATTGTTTATTTCCTTTTTTGCTGGATTTGAATAATGCTGCTAGGCGATGAGATTTCTCTTGGTCTTTGTTTTTATATGAACATGATGGGGCGGATAAAAGGCTGTTGGAGTGTCCAGTTTGGGGAATCTTCCTGCCAATACATGGGGCTACGAGGATACCTGATGCATGGAAGGTGGAGAGTGTTGAACTGATGACTGAGGTCTTATATTGACCTTCTTTGTTCAAGAACCACTTTGAAGGGCACTGGAGCACAAGAGTGTTGTTTTAGCTATTTCACACAAAGCACTTGTATTTGTGGACTACACATGCGTTTACATTGATTTCTTATTTAAACTTATGCATTGTTGGAGTCTTATATTGTTTTGCACTTTAATTTATTGTTGCTTGCACAAGCACTTGAAGAAAATTATTTAGCACTTTGATTAAACTGGTTGCATTTCCCATTTTCCACAGATTTGCACATTATCACCAATATATATTATATTATATTTTGAGTTTGAGAGGGTTAGTGTTTTCATAGAGGCACAAGGAATGATTTGTTAATTATTATTATTTAATTTTTTAGTTTACACATCTTTAGTATTTTGGGAGCACACTTTAAAGTAGCTGCTGGGATTTTTTAGGCATAAGAAGAGCGCAAGTGTCCTTAAACAATTTAAAATGATGTAACAACCCTATGAAAAGGTGAGGTCTAGAGATGAGCAGAGTGATTTGGTAAAGTCTTGCTGTTTCAAGTAAAAGGACATTATTGCAGTACAGCATAACATGTTCATAAATCATACCTATTAGTAAACCACAATAAAAATGTCTGCTTCATGTCAATGTATTTAGAAACTAATGCAAGTTTATTTATAACTCACAGATATAAAAATTATTTTGATAGCAATTAAAGTTTTCCGGTGGTAAATTGTAGCAAATCCTGTAAGTGGATGAGCAGTGCTGATTGTGTGATATTTCCCTGTGTTTTACAGAAAGTATCCAGACATCCAGAGTCTGGAGGAGCGGGAGAATTATAAAGCCGTTTTTAATGACCAATATGCTGAGTATAAGGAGCTTTACAGTGAGGTGAGAGTGGCATTACTGAAATTCAAAGAGTTGGACAGCATGATGGAAAAAATAACTAGCGGACCTCAGAGTAAGAAGGTGAGTTCAAAAAAGAATGATTTTATCATCACTTAGGTTGGCCTTACTTGTTTATTAGACTGGGATACCCTCTCCGGACCTACTTCAGTGCTCATTGCAGTTCAGCTGACATTTAGCAGTTACCTCTTTTTCCTTTTTTCCCCAGAAAATGGAAGGAGAGGAATGTATCAAAACATTTAGATGACATTTTGAGGTTCTACATTTTCATGTAGAATGGCGAGATCTTCAAATGATCGCCATTATTTGTTAGAGCCCTCCATAAAAGACTATGCTTACGCATGCTGCAATGTAGCGCAAATGATGAACCCCCTCATATACCTTATATAATTTATATAATCGCCCCTTTTCTATTCTCCCTATTTGTCAAATAGCTAAGGAGGTAAATTGAACTGTTTACCACTTTGTGTTTGAGAACCATTCTCATGCAGCACTAAAATTTGTTCTTGCATAATCCATTTTAATTCCCAATATATATTTTGTAGGTGCTAATATTAAACTACATGTTGTGTTCTGATAGAAACCTCCAGCAGAGTCCATGAGCCCAGCTACCCAAATTTTCTGATGACTATCTCATATAAAAGAGAAAGATCAGCTTATGTTATAGGTTAAAGCGGAACTACACTGCATTTGAACACCACAAATCAAAAACACTATTTAATTCATTTTTAATATTCAAAAAGAAAACTCAAACATCTTTCCATGCATCCATTTTGTCTCCATGCTTTATTTTTCTGAGAAATAACTTTGAAAAACACCCACCTAGCATTTCTGGCTGTGGCCATCTTGAGTAAGGGTAGATGATTTATGTAGCATTTACTTTGTGGAATCCATCTGTCCTTAACTCACGCATACAGGCAGGAGGGTGTGCTTAGCTGAGAAAACCCCTCTGCCCCTCCTGAAGACTCCTGAGATGTATGGCATAATTTGCTAGGCATGGAAACCAGAAAGTAACTGAAGAAATGAAAAAAAAAGTTTAAAACAAGTAAATATAATATACTTTCCTATCTATTTATTAATGCTAGCTGCATAAGGATTACAAATAGACAATGTTGGTTGAGAGAGTAAAGTTCCGCTTTAAAAATGTCAATACAGGGTCATGTCTGAGTATGAACACATGAGCAGTCAGGGGTGATAATGGAATATCAAATGAGCAATATAGTGTCTATTGGTCCTTCTTTAGGTGGTTATTATAATACTGCTGAATAACAATGTATGCATTTATGGCCTGTTGCTGTTGTCCTAGGTCTGGACAAAATAAGAAATAACACATTTAGTACATCTTTGCAATATATGCACATTCTCTTATGTTTTGCCTCTTGCAATAATATTAAGTGGGCCTCCAGATTATGTACACCCATGTAATAGGTTAGGGGTACTCCTACTCATTGACACAAAAAAGTAACCAGTACATAAAGACACCTAGACACCTACACAGTTTTTGACTACAAAAAAAAACAAAAGACAGGTACATCCATGTCAATCAGGATGAATGACGCCCTCCCCCATCAAAAAGAAAAAAAATTGATAGATATGTCCAGTCCTATTGCTGACTCACCGCAAATGACATCTCCAGGGCCCTGCTACAAAAAGTAAACAAATGGGCTGATCTCCTGTATGATGTACCGTATTTTTTCGCCGTATAAGACGCACCTGACCATAAGACGCACCTAGGTTTTAGAGGCAAAAACAGGAAAAAAAAAAACTTCTGAACTAATGGACTGCAGACACAGTACAGGATATGACCAGAGGGGAGACTGCGGACAGCACAGGGATGACCAGAGACTGCGGACAGCACAGGGATGACCAGAGACTGCGGACAGCACAGGGATGACCAGAGACTGCGGACAGTACAGGGATGACCAGAGACTGCGGACAGCACAGGGATGACCAGAGACTGCGGACACACAGTACAGGATATGACCAGAGACTGCGGACAGCACAGGGATGACCAGAGACTGCGGACAGCACAGGGATGACCAGAGACTGCGGACAGCACAGGGATGACCAGAGACTGCGGACAGCACAGGGATGACCAGAGACTGCGGACAGCACAGGGATGACCAGAGACTGCGGACAGCACAGGGATTGACCAGAGACTGCGGACAGCACAGGGATGACCAGAGACTGCGGACAGTACAGATGACTGCTGACCTTTGGGGAGGTGGGGAGCGGGTATGAATTTGACAGGTTACCCGCTCTTACTTCCGCAGACTTTTTGTTTGATCTTACCTGTTCCTCGATCCAGTGTCTTCCCGGCTTCTGTAATGGCGCTCGGCATGACAGCCGGGGTGCCCAGTGCGCATGAGCGAGAAGCACTTGCGCTTTGTGATTGGTCCGGCGGCTTCTGGGATCTGTCATGTGTCCCAGGTACCGCCTTACCATTCACAAAAAGCACCGCTTCTTTGCGCATGCGCACTTGGCACCCGGCTGTCATGCCCAGTGCCCGCACTACACAGGCCGGGAAGACAGCACGTCGCTGGATAGAGGAACAGGTAAGGTCCCGCTGCAGAGCTGAGTGGCCGGCCCGGTATTCTGACACGGCCGCGGTGGAAATACCGGACCGGCCGCTCCATATTCGCCTTATAAGACGCACTGACATTTCCCCCCCAGTTTTGGGGAAAAAAAGTGCGTCTTATACGGCGAAAAATACGGTATTAATGGCCATTCACATAGTTGGTCAATTTCATTGCCCAGATTTGGCCATATGACCTTATTTAGTCAGTGATGTCATGCTCCCCCCGCACATTTGTTTACATGGTCAGGGGTCTCTGGCCAGTAAAAGAATGAAGCTGGGTGACATAGCAGGTTGCTAAGGATGCGGCAGGTGCCAGTTTCTTCCTTGGCAACCATTGAGGAAGCTGTCATAGATAGTAGTGGTAGAAATTCCTGCTGAATGACCACAAATGCCTGCACAGCCAATATTTGGTCTAAACCTGAGTTTGGACCGAACCTTGAGCTCAGGAGCGGACTGACCATTTGGAAACTCGGGCACTGCCCGAAGGCCCGGGGTCAGTAGGGGGCCCCATGAGATGCCCCTGGTACCTTTTTTGAGTTTGGGCAAGGACACAGGGGCCCCATGATCCCCTATTGCCCGGGGGCCCCTTGAGTTGTCAGTCCGCCCCTGCTTGAGCTCCTTCCTAGGTACAATTTAGGTCCTTGTTTCCTGAGAAAAAGAAGCTTGAGATTTCAGTACTTAATATTCACAACAGAGATGCAATTAATTTTCCCACGCTTCAGATGACAATCTCAATGATTGTCAGTGGTCCTAATTTTATTTTTAGTAAAACTTGCATAATTTGTTTAAAAATAAAAAAAGATAAAATATCTGTATTAAAAGAGAAGTAGAGCTTTTTTTCCCTGTTTATACTTACCTTGGTGGATGCAGCATCTCTAAGGGTGAGAACTCAGTAATCACATGACCGTCGATTGCTGAGTTCTCTTCGCTCTGATCAAAGAGCGGTGACTGTCAGTCACCACTCTCTGCCCAGCCACCCAGCGCTCACTGGAGTGCTAGGCTGTGAAAGGGGAGGAAGCAGCTATCTCGGCCTCTCAGCGCTCCACTGAGAGGCTCAGATGTGCTGCTTCAGACTCTGGAGTGGAGCGGAGTGACTTTGAAGTCAGGATCTTTCCCCAGCCTGGAACGGCTGAGTGATGGCCCTGTTCCACACTATGTGGGCAAGAAGTTTGAAGCCCAGGCAGAAAAGGAAAGGAGCAGTCTGCTGATTCACTGTGAGTGAAATCTCCACCCTCTCTTTTCTCCTGCCTCACAGTGAGTTCTGGAATGTAAGAGGGACTCCTTTCCTTCCTTCCTTCCTTCCTCTTCCTTCCTTCCTTCCTTCCTTCTTTTCTTTCTTCCTTCCCTTCTTTTCCTCCTTCCTTCTTTTCTTTTCTTTCGTTTCCTTTCTTTTCTTTCTTTCCTTTCTTTTATCTTTTCTTTGTTCTTTCCTTTCTTTCCTTTTTTTATTTCATTCCCTCCTTCAATTTGAGACTCCTGATACCTCACCTAAGGCCCCCAAAGGGGCTCCTAAAAAAACTGTAAAAAAAACATATTTAAAAAATAAATAAATAAAAAATGCTGACACCAGTGGCTGAACTACAAGGGTCACAAAGGTCGCACTTGTGACCGAGCCCTTGGCGTTCCGCCACTGGGCTCGAAGGGAAGGGCCCAGCCTGGGGGGTCAAAGGGGCCCTTCCCTTCAGTCCGCTGTCAGCTGAAAATGGGTCACAGGAGTGGAGAATGAACTGCACTCCTGTGATCCACAGGAGAAGTACAGCCAAAAAATCTTTAAGAGTTGTATGAAAGACTGTGATATGAGACACCTTACTTTTTAAATGACAAACAAAAAACACATTTCTTTGCATTTCTAACAGACCTGTTCAAATCAGTGCACTGCAGTGCCATTCATGCAATAGCTTGCAGTGCCATTCATTGTGAATAGCTTGGTGTGCTGCAGTGCCACTCATTGTGGATGGTATCCCAATGCACCTTCCCAATCCATGTACACTGCAATGTGTGATAAATCACACCACCATGCTTTTTTTTGCACAGAGGTACACAAAATGGTGCTGGTCTGATTTAAAGTCCATTGTGGAGAATTAAGCAGTGCCTCCAAATGAATGGGCTACCTGTAAGCTCCCAGGATCAGGGCCCTCCTAACCCTCTTGTATTGAACTGTATTGTTGCTGTATTGTCTCCCGTTATATTGTAAAGTGCTGAGCAAACTGTTGGCGCGATATAAATTCTGTATAATAATAATAATAAATGCATGTTAACAGGCATGCTTGAAAGGCACTCTAGTAAACCTTAGTGGTATAAATGGTTTCCTAATATAAAGGCTATATCTGATTTACCTGTATTTCATTTTTAGCAGTGTCTTTTTTCAATGTTATAGGCACCAGATAGGATAAAAGTCATCGCTGAAAAATATGAGAAGAAAAAAAATGTAAGTACATGCAAAAGTATTTTTTATAGTTTGGACCTTGTCTGAATTTAAGAGTTGTGGTTTTACTGGACATAATACTATGCATACTGTACATGTCCACATTGCCAACATCATTATGATTTTCAGTAAATAACGGAAACCTGAAGCCTCTTGCTCCTTGATTAAAGGCTAGGTTCACCTTTCTGGGCAGAATTTCACTTTTTCACAATTTCGAAATTTCATAATAAATAGAAGCGTTTTCTCTTGTTATTTCTGGCCCAGGTATCCCATTGAGCCTTTCTCTCACTTACCTTCAGAAGGCTTTGAAATCTTGGCTGTCTGTGGATTTTTTAAAATGGTTTCCATATTCCATCACTTCCTGTACATTATCTCCCCAGCATTCATATTCTGTAGCCTGGGGCGGACGGACTGAGCATTCAGGCACTGCACGAGGGTCCAGGGTCAGAGGGGGCCCCATGAAATACCCTGGTACCTTTTATAGGCTTTTTTGGGTGTGCTTTGAGTGTGGGCAAGGACACAGGGACCCCATGATCCCCTATTGCCCGGGGGCCCCATGAGTTGCCAGTCCGCCCCTGTCTGCAGCTCATCTCCCATCACCATTTACTTCCTGGTTGCATCGTAGAAGAGGACGTGATAGGACGTGTTCACCACTGTGGACCACTCCTTCCTCATTACTATACCATTTTCCACCTACATTCTGTACTTTCTGATTGTACAAATTTCCTTTAAATCTAACATCAGCTATTGGAAGAAAGGAAAGAAGGGGCGGGCTCTCCTCATCCATTACCGTGATAAAAAGGAATTTATTTGAAATAACAAGAATGTATACTCACAAACCAAGATTCCCTACTTCAGAGTACGTCTCCCGAAACGCGTCAGTACACCCAGCTGTCAGATTACCTCATTGTTGGACCGTCACACTGGTTTTCAGCTTGTTTTAGGAATATTGGTTTGTGAGTATACATTTTTGTCATTTCAAATAAATTCCTTTTTTATCACGGTATTGCATGAGGAGAGTGTGCCCTTTTTTTGCTTTCTTCCGGTACCTTCATGATTCCCCGATCTTTAGAGGGCTGCACCCCAACAAGTGTCTGTTAATGGTCCTGGGAGGCGCACGGACTTCAGCGCTTGCGTATGCTTTTTTTATTTCTCTTGTCTAACATCAGCTATGTAGTGCAAGGGCCTTCTTGATTTGATACAAATTGAATAGAATTGAATAGGGTCCTCCTATTCCATAGTTTTGATCAATCTAAAGGAAATTGTTCAGAGATAGTACAATCAGACTGCTTAGTGTATTGCTATTTATTTATTATTTAGTTATTCTTTTTATGAGTACATAGGGGGGAGTGGATGGAGACATTCATCTGTCAGGCTCCGTTCACATCTTCAAATAATGGGAACTCAAGTTCCCGAACACGTTTCTTTATTTGGGGGGGGGGGCGTTTCATGGCATTCTGGAGCATTTTTGCTCATCATGCATAGGGCAACCTATACCCTATGCGCAACAATCTCCCCAAATAAATTCCAGAACTTTTTGTTTAGAGTGGAGCGTGGTACTTTTTTTTCTGTGATTTTTGGTGCGTTTGCAGCTGTTTGTGAAATGCAAGGCAAGGCATGCATTTTCTCTGCAGTTTGCCACGCGTTTGGAAGTACACAGATTGTGCATCAACTTTGATTGTCAACTGTGTAAACACACCAATTTCACTTTCAGGCCCTATTCACACCTAACGTAGTGGTAGCACACATTTATTGGCTTGTTTTTCCTATGACATGCATAGGGCAGGATCCGTTGATTTCAATGGACTGGCCTACAGGCGGTAAAGTAGCTCATGGGACATTTTGGCGTGGTGCGAGTTGCAGTTTTTACCGTGCATTTTGCTGTGTTTTTTCACCGTTTTTTCATGTTGCAAAATGTGTGTTTGCTTCTGTGTTTGGTGTGTCGTTAACAAGTAATGTCAATGAAAGCGCCACTAGTTAATTTTATGTGTATAAAGGTGGCCATACACTATAAAATCTGATTGTAAAGGCATCTCTGTACAATCTCCATTAGATTTACCAAAACTATATATTAGGAGGATACACCTTCTATCCAATCATTCCTAGTATACAATCAGGCAGGCCCTTGCACTACATTAGGGGTATCCAGCCCGCAGGCCTAAGTGTGACCCAGAGAGCTTTAGCATGCAAAGCAGGGCCTGTCTGGGGGCTGCTGTCTGGGGTTGCCGTCAAACAGAGTTGATGGGTATGAGGTCCCAGTGCAGGATGTCATGTGCTAATGAGGTCAGTTGGTAATTTCCTTCCTGTGTCTTACTGGTTTCTCCGTCCCAAATCTACATGTCAGGAAGTGATGAAGCTTTCTAAGAAATACAGCAGGGGCTAAGGTAAGGCCTTGTTCTAAAAATCAAAGAAAGCTTTTATTTTTCTTTGCAACAGAGGTACATTAAGGTAAATATTGAGCACATTCTGAATGGCACTACCATTCATCTCAGCCCGCAGCGCATTTGCGCGTGTGGGAATAGCATGGGAAACCATTCATGGTCAAAAATTCAATGCATTTTTTGAAAAAATCGCATTTGTAAGAAGAGTGCATGCACCTTTTCCGAAATGGATAGGAAATGTGGGGACAGCATTGCCCATTCAAATGAATAGGCTGCAGTACCCGAGCAACAGGCGGCCGCACAGCTCACAATATTGTGAACCAAGAAGACCTAATCTGGTTCTCTCTGCCCTCTTTACCTTTAGACATATTCCTCTCTCTCTACTCTCACTACAAGATGGGATTCCTTGTAGTTAACACATCTGCAAGGCCAGTATCTGAACAGGTGGCCTCATCTAGCAAGAAACCCATGTTTTTTATTTTTTGCATAGGAACACGGTGGGGTCTAGGCCTAGCACATTCTTTTTCTAAAGGTATTATGCAATTTGCATTGCCCTGCCTGCCCGTGTTTGATCCAGCAGGAAATGGATGACCTTATGAATAAAAATCAGTTAAAAACGTAAATTTTAAAGTATTAAACAATTTTTTTAATATATAATAAATTATTGTCTCTGTAACGTCTTTCTTGCCCAGATAGTTCTGATATGAGGAAGGGCCTATGGCTTATTTGTTTGCTGTTTATTTTCCCTCTTTCCTACCCCCTTTTCTCTGTTCTTCTCCCCACCCCAACCCCCCCCCAATTCACTCTTCTTCTTCCAGAGTTTTTCTTTTAATTTTTTTTTTTACTTTCCCCCTGCCTCTCACTTATCTCCTCCCCTACTTTCTTTCCCCTCCTTTTCTATTTTTCTTTCTCTGCCAATTTATACATATTATTTTGTTTAAAGTCTTCTGCCTTTAGTCTTGGTTCACACTACTGCAACCTGAAAGTCACGAGACTCACAGTGCGACTTTGCCAGGCGACTTCAGTACTACTTTGAAGCGACTTTGAAGCATACTCTGAAACATCTCTGAAGCAACTTTGAAGCAACTTTCAGGGAATGCCTGGGTAATCTTCCTTTACTGTCGGATCCAAATCACAACAATATAGATGAGGATCCGACTTGAAGGCGGACATCCATTAAAGTCTATGGGCACAAGTCTGATAGAAGTCGCTTGAAGTATTACAGGAACCTTTTCTAAAATCAGAGAGACTTCATTAGTGCTAATTAAGGCAGCTCTCATTAACTAACATGGGATTACACATGTCATGCGGACTTGAGTCTCTCAAGTCAGATCCCAAGTCGCGGGCAGTGTGAACCGAGCTTAAAAGTGATATTAAAGGCAGACTTGTACAGGAAATACATAAGACATGTTGTACATACTACAGGAGCTTTGACCCCAATCGGACATTTCTCGGGTCCCCTGCTATGACTAGTCAGACATACTAGAAAGTCACATCCAGCTCGTACCTGTCGCAGCAGAGAATCGCACTGTGAAAGCGTAGATATAGTCTAATTCAATGCAGATATGGTACACTAAGTACATTTAATTACCACCTAAATCAGCCACAGGAGATGTGTAATTTTTCGACTCCACAGGAGACGCACCTAGATTTTAGAAAACACAGAAAAAAAAATGAACAAAGAACTACAGACAGAGTACAGGAAATGACTAGAGACTGCGGACACAGTACAGGAGATGACCAGAGACTGCAGACATATAGTACAGGAGATGACCAGAAACTGCGGACACAGTACAGGAGATGACAAGAGACTGCGGACACAGTACAGGAGATGGCCAGAGACTGCGGACATAGTACAGGAGATGACCAGAGACTGCGGACACAATACAGGACCAGAGACTGCGGATATTACAGGAGATGACCAGAGACTGCGGACACAGTACAGGATATGACAAGAGACTGCGGACACAGTACAGGAGATGACCAGAGACTGCTGACAGTACAGGAGATGGCCAGAGACTGTGGATATAGTGCAGGAGATGACCAGAGACTGCGGATATAGTATAGGAGATGACCAGAGACTGCGGACATATTACAGGAGATGACCAGAGACTGCGGACACAGTACAGGATATGACAAGAGACTGCGGACATAGTACAGGAGATGACAGAGACTGCTGACAGTACAGGAGATGGCCAGAGACTGTGGATATAGTGCAGGAGATGACCAGAGACTGCGGACATAGTATAGGAGATGACCAGAGACTGCGGACACAGTGCAGGAGATGACCAGAGACTGCGGACACAGTGCAGGAGATGACCAGAGACTGCGGATATAGTATAGGAGAGGACCAGAGACTGCGGACACAGTGCAGGAGATGACCAGAGACTGCGGACATAGTACAGGAGATGACCAGAGACTGCGGACATAGTATAGGAGATGACCAGAGACTGCGGACACAGTGCAGGAGATGACCAGAGACTGCGGACGTAGTACAGGAGTCACCAGAGACTGTCGACGTAGTGCAGGAGATGACCAGAGACTGCGGACACAGTGCAGGAGATGACCAGAGACTGCGGACGTAGTACAGGAGATGACCGAGACTGCAGAACAGGAGATGCAGGAGACTGACGGACTTCATAGAACAGGAGATGACCAGAGACTGCGGACCATTGGGGAGGGGGAGTGGCGAGTACCTGAATTTGACAGGTACCCGCTCCCACTTCCGCAGAGTTGTCCTTCCCCCTCCCTCCCCATAATCTTGTGGCACATGTGACAGGTCCCACAAGATTACGGGGCCATTCACAAAGCGCAGCACTTCTTACACATGCGCAGTGAGCACCTGGCTGTGAAGCCGCAAGCTGTCACAGCCGGGTGCCCACACTGAAGATGCCGGCGCGAGGGAGAGAAGATGGCCAATGAAAGCAGGACATCGCTGGACCGAGGAACAGGTGGGACGGAGGAGCGGGTTCTTTTTCACAGTACAGACGAGCGGCCAGCCCGGTATTCAAACAACGCGGCGGCGGGAATACAGGGCTGCCCGCTCCATATTCACTGCATAAATTGCACAGACATTTCCCCCCCTTAATTTGGGGAAAAAAAAGATGCGTCTCATGGAGCGAAAAATACGGTAATATGTGTTTGGTTTTAAAGGGATGAGGTGGCAACCCTAATACATAGGCTAACACAGAGGTGGC